CTTTGATTACTTGAGCATATAATTAGGTTGAAAATGTGATGGATAAAGACACAGTGTTTACCATTTTGCTTCTAAATCAACACAGTGCATTTTAAATCGAACAATCAAGATGTGATTGAAGTGGTGACTTTGAGCCTTAATTCAAGTGGTTTTTACAAAAAAAATTGCATTAAGTATTTAGGAATTAGAGGCCTTTTTATACACCTATATCTACCTATATACAGAAGCTCAGAAAACATGTAATAACATGAAAACAAGCCATCACAATGCTCATCTGTCAGTTGTCTACTTACCCCTGAAAATGAGGAAATACCCTTAATTTATGAAAGGTTAATGCATTTTTTTTGGAAAAAACCCTTGAATTAAAGCTGAAAATCTGCACTTCAATTACCGTCTTCATTGTCTGGTTTTAAAAAATATAAACATTGTGGTGGTATACGGAGAAAAAATTACAAAAAAGTGTCTGTTTCCACCAAATTATTCACATAACTGTATAGTTCCAGTAAGTCATTGCCAATGGCTCATATCACAGCCAAGGATAGACAGAGTCAAAATAAAGAAGTATAGATCTCCAAGTCACAGAACGAGGTCACTGCAGTTAAAGGATAATGAGGCTTATTGCACTCAGGGTCTTATTTTTATTGCCAAATTAATGACCAGCATCTGGATGCACCCCAAGATCAACTCTGCCCACAAAAAAAAGCACTTTTATGAGTAGAAAGTGGTATTTTCTAATTGAATCTAACCAATTTGAACAACCTTGTGAGCTATAATTGTGTAGAGCAAATTTGAACTGTTTGGAAAATATAAGTTTCAGTTTGCAGATCCCAAGTAGGGACCCTATGTAAGTATGTAATGTAAGTGCAATGACCTTGCCACAGCCTGTTATGTATTTATTCATGTTATTATTTACACATGGTAATTGTCATCTATTAATGACAGCACAGTACCTTGCTGATACACACAAAAGTGAGATACAGCTGATTAAAAAATGATGGCTTACTATTTAGATGCATCTCATTACCTTAACCATGTTGTGATTGAAACAGATTTAGGTACCCCTCCCTTTTCAGCTATCCCATGTCATCAACCATTGAGTCATTCTGATCTCTCAGTAGCTAAATTGCTTTACCCGTATTAGATTGGATAACTGCTAAAAGACTGTGATTAGGACATGAAACACACAGCAACTTGCATTCTGGCACCAGCCACAATTAGTTACACAGTCTGTGTCTAAATATTTATCAAAACAAGTTAAAACATAAAACACACTGCATCCAAATGTAGCCCCTCTCAGCAAACTGGAACCCAGAGCATATTTGTCATTCTAAGAATCCTTACTTTTGCAAAACAATAACCATTAAAAAAACACTAATGAAATGTAACATGGCTGAAATTTTTTTCTTAGTAGTTTTTTTTATGTCTTGAGAATTAAAGGTTAATTCTAAATTACTTCATCTGGAATATTTCAATACATAGGTTTTGCAGGATGAATTTAGTTATCCTGCAACATTTTGTTGATTAGCTATTTAGTTATCTGATCTGTGTGTTCATGTATGTTGCGGACAGCCATAAGTTTAACAATTGCTCATATTAGATTGAGACGTAAGGTTTTGTTTGGGTTTGTTTTGTTTTAATTACCATTATATAATTCTGTTATTTTTAATGTCTTAGCCAGGAGCTTTGACTTAGTGCATGGAGAAGAAAGCTTCCAGTCTTACTGGACTTGGTGTTTTTCTTTTTGGTGGAAGTGAGACGCCATCAGAACCAAAAACAGCAATATTTACTAAAGCTGCCAATTTATTTTTTGCACTTCTACAAACAGGAGTACTTTCATCCATGGACAGATGGGGATCTTTATAGTATGGCACCAAGGGGTCCTGAATTTTAAAGCAAAAAATTTCCTTCCTCAGCAGCAGGCGACACATGGTTCCCTAGGTATGTTTTCGTTTAGTGTGGTGTTATGTGCACCTCGGTGCACTGGTATATCTACCATCCGGTTATTTTTTATTTTTCTCGCTCTTATTAATCTGCTCTCTCCTCTCCGATTTGTCTATAGTTCTGATTGGCTGCAGAGGTTCATGTGCACACATAAAGTCAGAGAAGGCAGCTTTCCCTGCCCGCTGTCAGCATTATTCCTCAGTCACTTTTAGGAGCTTTATTTCTGTTTTATTAGTTGGTTTTTGGAGTTACCAGCAGTCCCATTTTCAATTTTGATTTCATAAGTTTAGTTTGCTAACATTAGTTTAGTGAAGAAGCCTGAACCTGACTGGCTGTTA